CACTGGATGGTGCCCGTGGTGCTGTGTTCCCCAGGCCCCATCTGGCTGGACAACGTGCGGTGTGGGGGCAATGAAGGCTCCTTGGCAGAGTGTGTCCACAATGGCTGGGGCATCAGTGACTGCCACCATGGTGAGGATGCTGGTGTGGTGTGCTCAGGACAGCAACTGCCTGGCAGCTCCCCCCAGGCCACCACCTCTGGTAACCTGGGAGAGGTGAGTGGGGGGTCATGGAATTCCCCTGTTCCCAGTAGGGTATTCCAGGGGGACTGGAGCAGGTCCCTCTAACCCTTTCCCTTGTCCCCATCCTGTATGCCCTGCCCTCGATACTGGAGTCCCATGCCCAACCCTGTGCCCACTGTGGCAGGTGCCAGGGCTGAGCCTGGAGGAGGTGCGGCTCAAGCCCATCCTGGCACGAGCCAAGCTGAGCATGCCAGTAACGGAGGGTGCTGTGGAAGTGAAGCACAACGGGCGCTGGAGGCAGGTGTGTGATGCCAACTGGACCAGGAACAACAGCCGTGTGGTCTGTGGGATGCTGGGCTTCCCCCGCGAGAAGCAGATCAACACCAGCTTCTACCGGTAGGGATGTGGGAAACATGCATTGCACGTAAGCACGTGGGGCAGGTGCCTGGCTGGGCACACTGTGGGGACAAGAGACTGGAGGGGGCGTCAGGGAAGGGCTGCACATATGTGTGGGTGGGCAAGGTGCCTGGCCATGCCTAGGTCCCCTTCTTGTGGCCTTGACAAGGGGCAGAGTTGGGCTCAGCAGCATCCAGAGGACTGTGGGTATGGTCACCAGATATGACTGGCAAAGCGTGGGAGAAAGGAGAGGAAAGGCAAGTGTCTCTCAATCCCTCCACTCCTGTCTCAGACTGGGACTATAAATACAGCGCATAATGAGCCCCTACCAATGCCAGGAGTCACACAGTCCTGCTGGGACACATGGTACAGCCAGGCTTGGCACGGTAATCGCCAGTGTGAGAGAACCTGACATTCTGTGGGAAGACCTCATGGCTCCAGCTCCTACTGGGGAGGGCAGGAGTGATGGGGTGGGGGGGGTTCAGTTGTGCAGTGTCAGCATGACACCCCCCAACCTCCTGGCTCTGTGTACCCACAGAAAGCTCTGGAATAGGAAGCTGAAGGACTCCAACTCCAGGTAGGACTCAGCCCTGGGCAGGGCAGGCAGGGCACCTTGGGTGGGCACCCAGCATGGATATTGGGTGGGGGTGAGTCTCTGGCACCCAAGCTGACACTGGCCCTGCTCCTCTCCCTTGGCAGCCTGAAGACTCTCAGCCAGAAGAACAGCTTCTGGGTCCACAGGGTGCAATGCAAGGGCTCGGAGCCCCACCTGGCCCGCTGCCCTATACAGGTGGCCCCACCAGCCCCCCGCCAGCACGCCTGCCCCCACGGCATGCACGCCATTGTCAGCTGTCTCCCCAGCCCGGCCTTCCAGAAGGGCACAGGCAAGGGCAAGAGCAAAAGCAAGGCCTCCCCAGGAAAGGTGAGCCCTGGCAGAGCCCCGCACCTCATCCCAGCGACAGAGGGTC